GGCAAACTGAGCCCTGAGGGGCTGCTGGGCTGGAGCCCCCGGCAAACCGAGCCCTGAGGGGTTGCTGGGCTGGAGCCCCCGGCAAACCGAGCCCTGAGGGGCTGCTGGGCCGGAGCCCCTGCGGGCACAGCGTGGCTCTGCCCGGGGACACTGGCACCGACAGCCAGGCTGGTTTGCTGAGCCCGACCCGACCCCGTGCGTTTGGCACAGCCGGGTCTCTGACTGTACATCCATGGGCATCGAAACAGGCTGAAACAGAGACTGAACCCACGTACCTGTCCCTGTGGCCTGGGCTCTCCTGGGCATCGGTCTGCAAAGGTCTGAGGTGTCGCAGCGACTGCTCCCCCAGCCCGATGGTGTGTGACCTTCTCCTCCAGCCCGATGGTGTGTGACCTTCTCCTCCAGCCCGATGGTGTGTGACCTTCTCCTCCGGCTGCCTCTGTGGGGATCTGAAAACGTGGCTGTGGTTTTTAAATGAGGCGACTGACGCAGTTAAACCCAGAGTTCAAATGGCTCAATCACGTGGAAGTTACCGAAAGAGTGGGACAGAAAGACGTAAGTGCCCACGGAACAGCCCAGGGCCCCCTCTTTCCTGTTCCTGGGGAGGGGCAGGCGAGGGCTGTGCCCCGACACCCACCCTGCTGCCCACGGGGACTGATGGGTGGGGAATGGGCTGGGGAACAGCCGGGTCAGGCGTGGTGCTGGGCCAGTCTCGCAGATTTGTATGATTCCCATTAAGCTTTTGTGGAGGACAGATGGTCAGAGGTGTTTGACCTGTTGGTGCCAGGGACAGGAGCTGTCCGGGATGGAGGCCGGAGCTGTGGCCTGGCTGACCCCCTGGTATTGCCCTGTGCAGTGTGTCCTGCTGCTTTCAGGCCTGAAGGTTTAAATGTTTATCATGTGTTCAATATGTAAGGGTCCTGAGATGTGTGGTTAGGTCAACCTCAGTGTGTGGACTTTCTTGTGTGGTTCCCAAAAGTTCATCTGCTCAGTCCCAGATCCCTGACCTGGGGCTGTGAGTGTGTGACATCAGTGGCTGTTTCTTTGCTTTTGTTTTTATAAATCTGAAACCCTGTTGCACCCTGCCCCTCCTCCCCCATATATTTTACATTTAAAATCTGTCTGGAATCAGGATTTTGCAATGTAGTTGGTCCTTGCTCATTGTGATATACCTGCATGAAATTCCAGGTTTTGGGAATCTCGCGAGTGTTTGCTTTAGAGTTCCACTCTAATTTGTGGATTTTAAGGTATGTCGGGATTCTGCTGATCTCAATTAATATTCTAAACCTTTGGACATTTACCAAGCACCATTAAAAATAAAAATGACACATTAGGGAAGTAGGGGAAATATTTTTATTTTTTTTGGTACGCCATGGGAAAAGGTCTGACACCATGCCGGGGGTGAGGGACTGATTGCGATACTGAAACTCTAACTGGTGGTACTTGGTTGTAGTTGAGAATCCACAGGAATTTACAAACCCTGTACCAGAGCTTTGGGAAGGAACAGATGAAGAATATTTGGTTTTATGTTTAGTCATAAGCTGAAAGTTCAGACCATATTTGTCAAAATGTTTGCAAAGCGTCGTGATCCGGCATGATCCCCTGTCCAGTTGTGAGCAAACATGGGCTCATTTTAGGGTGTTCTGCTTATGCAAAGCTGATCTTGCCATACTTTTGGGGTTTTTTTTTAAACCCAAACTGCAGCACTGTCAGTTGTTTCTGTCTCTGTATCTTTGTTGTTCTCCCCTTTTCAGTAGTCAGTTTACAACTCAGGAAACTTCCAGGTCTAAACAGACAAAGTATGTGATAGTTGGGTAAACCTTTAGTGTGAAACGGTCTGCCCTTTCTGCAGAGGTGTTTTAGGAGGAGAACAGACATGTGAATATGAGTTACTTGGGTGTGTGAGGAGCTGGCTTGGGGTGTCTGAGGCATGATGTGCTGGGAAAGATGTGAAAGGATTAATTTACCCAGTGCTAAAAAAAATTGGCTTCAGTTCATCCAGCGAAGTGAGGAGCAAGGTTGGGGAGATGGAGCAGGGGCTTGGTTTGACACTGGTGTCATTTGGGACTTGTCACTCACAGGGTGGGTTTGTAGCAGGAGCAGGGGCACAGGAGTGTTTCTTGACTAGTGAAGCTCTTGGAGGAGGAGTTTTTCAAAGTGAATTATATGTAGCATTCCTTTGAACAAGGGTGTTGATCAGAACCCTTTCCCCAGTGCCTGCATGTAGATTCTTGTTGTTCTAATATCAGTGATCTGCTGGGGTGAGGAAGCAACATAAATAATGTTTTCAAAGCTTGCAAAGCAATTAAAAAATCATTCAAATATATATTGGGGAAGAGTTTTTATCTGCCTATGCCAGTGATCTTTCGCAGCCACAACTATGTAGATTTACATAGGCAAATACCAAGCCCTGCCACGCAGGGAACTGAATGTTTTTGCCATAAATGTTGAAAGATCTTCCACAAAGCACCAGATTCCCTTCCCCAGCAGGTTGGCGCCCTTGCTTAGAAGGCAGAGCCTCCAGAATCTGTTTAATGGAGTTGGGGAGCTCTGAAAGAACCACGTAAATAATATTTTATGTATTTTCTTAACAAACACAACCAGAACACAGCCTTGTCCTGTAGTCTCTGTGGGCAGGTTTGGGCTGGGGACCCCCAGCCCCTGCAGTCCAGTGAACACCCAGGCTGGGGTGCTGGGATCCAGGGATCCCTGGGTGCTGGTCCTCCCTGGGGTCCAGCTGGGACTGCTCTCCAGGCAAGTGAGAAACACGTGGAGGTGGATTTGCTTCACAAAGGTGTGTGTGAATCCAGCAGAGGTGTCCAGACCTTTAGCTGGAATACAATCCTGTGGGATGGTGGAATTCTGCTGCTGCAGACCAGTGGTCTCAGACCAAGAGAAGTTACCCCCGGTCTTGGAGAAGGTGCAAGGACCAGATGTTTGAAAATTTTTCACTCTTATCTGTTGGGACTAAAATGAAACACAGTGACAGAAGGGTGAAGCATGTGTTATTTCTCTTCCTGGAGTTTCTTTGTTAAGAAAAATGAAAGCATTCAGCCTCCAGAACTGCTGCCCGAAAGCTTTAGTAGAGACTTTATGCCCTGGTGGGTTTTCCCTGTACAGTGATAAAATCAATTAAAAAAACCCAGCTGCACTGAAAAATACAATTATAAAAGATATTATATTTGTACAGAGCAGATTGGTGGCTTTCAGCTGTTACCTTGGTACAGACAGAAATGCTTTATCACTGTGTCAGAAGCATGGGAAAACCAACAAACCATTCTTTCTGGATTTAAATGCACCTGGAGTTCCTAGACAGCTGTACCTGTGTGTTCACAGATGGCTCTGTGATGTTCTTGCTTGTTCCTGCACCAGCAGAGTTTCTGCAGGTTGGTGTGGAGGTGTTTGTGTTCATGTTAGTTCAGAGAAGTCCTGAGGAAGACCGTGCAGTGTAACTGTGCTCTTTGCTTTATAGAAGGATCCTCTTGAAACCCTTGCTTAGATTGAACATCACATCTTATAGAAATATTCTGACACTTTTTGCCCAAGGGTGACAAATAGTTATGTTTAGTTCTTAATTTTATAGAATATGTCCCTTAAGAAAACTTCTATATGTTTATATGTATATATATATAACCAAAGATATTTCAGGCTTTGTATGTATCTGTGAGGATTTGCTGTGTGGTTTTTTGATTTTCTTTTTAAATTTATTTTTTTATTTGTTGTCTTTCCCCCTCTCCCCCCAGTTGTTGGCATAGAATCCTTCCTTAAGCTGTACATTGCCACCAACCCTTTGCTCTGTGACCCAGGAGACACACGAGTGAGATTCCCAGCACAGTCTGGGTCCCCTTGGTTGGGCTGGTGGAGGCCAAGTCTGAGAGACTCATGCTGACCATCCTCGTGCTGCCTCTGAGGGCTCTGCCTGCTCGAGGGGGAGCTGTTGGGTGTTCCCAGGGCTGTCAGGCTGCTTTGGTGGCTGTCGTGTGTCGTGCCTGGCTTTGTGAGAAACAGCAGAAAATTGGTTTGGTTTTGGGTCTTTTGGATGATCCTTTCAGAGACCTATGGCCTGGAGCTCTAGAACATGCCATTCCAGGTACTCCTCTCTCTGTTTTGAAGATCCAGATGGGTTGTGTCACATCTTAGGGCAATCACAGCGTCAGTGAAACAGCACATTGTGAATACATTGGCACATACAATAATGGTTATGTGCAGAGAAAGAGCACTTGGTGTTTTGTGTTGAAACCTCTTTTGTTTGTTGTTGGTTCTCATCTGTTGTGTTTCTTTGGGACATTTGCATTCGTGAATGACTTCCTGAAACGTGCACAATTGTACAGACCTGAAACTACAAGATGTTTATACTTTCCCGAAGTGTATTTGATCTTCTGGATTTAGAAATTTCAACCTCACTCGAAGCTTTCAGCTTGAGATGCAGTTTTTGATACAGCTTTTCTTTAAAGGGGAGGCAGAGGAAGAAATAAATAATGGGGTCAAGGCAGATGTTCGCAGCAGAGAGCATCAGAGTGAACTCCTTGGCATAGTACAGTGATTTTTGGGACTGGCAGGTGAACTGGGAGCTGGTCTGGCTCAGGGTGTATGGGGTCCTGCAGAGGTGGTAGGGAACAAAGCAAATGACAAACACAAACATGATGCTGAATATATTCCGGCTGGTTTTTCTCTTGGCCGTGTCTGAGCTCCTTCGGAATTTTTTGTAAGAGTTGTATATTTTTTTGGATATAGCAGTGTAAAATATGATTAGCAGAATAAAAACAACCCAGAAAATCCCTGTGCAAATATAAGTTGTCGCTGTGTGCCACTGTCTGCCAAGCTCACTTTTAAGACCTATACATTTTCTGGAATAATTGTCTTTAGTGATTTCATTAGTTAAAATCATATTTGGAAATGATATAAGCATTAACGACAGCCATATGATTATAGAGACCACCTTGCTGTAGTTCACTGTGTGAACAAAGGAGGTGAACAAAGGTTTTACAATTTTGTAGTATCTGTCAAACCCTATGAGGCCGAAAAAGGTGATCCCGATGTACATGTTCATGTAGAACACGACTGCAGAGTATCTGCACACAAACAGGTTGAGCTCCGGAGGTGCAATCTCTGAATCAGCCAGGATTTTGAAAGGAAACGTCAGGCTCATGAGGAGATCGGCCACGGCGATGTTTTTGAGATAGACAATAAAACTCTTTGTGCTGGAAACGTGCAGGAAGAGCCAGGCTGCCAGGGCGTTCAGCGAGAGCCCCGTGAGGAAGATGAAGGAGTAGAGCAGTGGGATGACTGTCGTGGTCACTGCTGTGCGGGGGCTGCAGTTGTGTCCCGAGGAGTTTGTGCTGGTGTTGAACATCCTACAGTGCCTTCGTTCCTAGAAGCAGAGAAACAGTATCTCAGTAGGACAGAGTGATGCTGAGCTTTCTGTTAATTACTGTAAGTTTTCTACTCTTGCTTCCAAATAAACGTGGCCTGCCTCCCAGAAATGACCATGTTCCCACACCACAGCTCCCAGCAGTGGGGCAGAGTATTTTTCCAAGTGGTGCCATTTCACTCACTGTCTGGTGATGTTCAAGGGCATGCTGCTGCTCTGAACAGAGAATCCATTTGCTTCTCTATTTGACTTAACCCATTGCCTTCCAGACCTGGGGTGCCTCTTTCCTGGGCATGAGTCCAATTTGGGGTGATACTGCTGAAATTAGAAGGACCTCCTGAAAAGGCACCAATAGCAAATGGCATTTTTTATTTAAATAGTAATACACTGTGTTTAAAAACTATTCTTTCTGCTGTGTCCCTGTTCATTTCCTCTTGCCAGACTGTCTCAGCAGGATCCTCTCTCTGCATGTGGTGTGTTTAGAACTTGTTCCTGCTCTGTGGGGTTTTCTAAAGTGAAGAACCCACAGGTGGGTCTTTCTGTGCTTGGATTTGGAAGCAGATATTAAATGGCTTAGGAAGTTCGTTAAGTATGTTTTGTGCTGAGATTATTTCAGAACTGTGTCATTAGAGATGTGGATATTAAGTCTTTGTAAAGTCTGTTGTGTCTGTGCAGCATGGAGGACACCCCAGGCAAATTTTACATTTGGTACCAGCACATTTAGCAACTGTGTGTTGTTGAGAGGGAGCCACAGTCCCAGCCAGACTCTGCACATCTTTCCGTATCATTGCAAGTCCTTACCTTTTCTGCCTTGCCTGCTGTGGAGCTTTGCTAAGGGTCTAGAGCACTGTCCATTCTTGGGCACGGGGCCTCTGCTCTTGCTGTGAGTCCTGTGGGAGAGACAGGAAGAAAGTCTTTTATTGTGACACAGTCTTTTATTGGACAGTGTGACCCACGGTGCTGAGGGGCTCCTGCAGTGCAACACTTGCTTAGATCACCTCAGAATCAGCACTCAGCCAGGCTTCAGACCTGTCAGGACGTGGGAGCTGTTGAGGGCAGAGCCATGGAGCTCATGAGGCTGAGGTCATACCCAACCTCAGCCCTCACTGCATGGGTAAGGCTGGAGGCCCCTGTGGCCCCTGCTGTGCATTGCAATAGTTACGTTCATGAGCAGTGTTACCTGCTCTCTTTGTCACCTCCTCACGCACTTGGCTCTTTCTGGAAGGCCTTGTCCTGCTGCTGTGAGTGGTTCAGGGGGGCAGGGAGCACTCTCCCATCACTGGCCTGTCCCCGTTAGCCCACAGGGTGGCTCCTGTGGCTGCTGCTGGTGTGAGGCAGAGGGCACACGTTAGTGCCAGCTCTTGGGATGGGTGTCACAAACGGCCTTTTGTACTCGAGCAGCAGTTCTGGGCCCAGAACGCCTGGGCCAGCATGAAGTGTATTGATTTGTGTAAATGATGTCAACTCGTTGTGCGAACCAGCAAACTTGATTCACTGGATGAACAAGATTGATTTGGTAAAATATAGAAAAGCTTTGAACTTCCTTAGCTTGCAAATGGTGTTGTCTTGGCAAAACACACAAAAAGGGAAGTAGCATAAACCATTAGAAGTGCTCAGTCCCCTCTGAGGTCAGACTCTTGCACTGTCCCCTGACTGTCCCCAGTAGCATTAAGGCAATTCTTGAACTTGGCTGTCAATTTTCAAAGTTCATGGCTGATTTACTGAATGTAAGAATAATCTTTACAAGTCATGTTTCTTTTATTTTCCCTGAATTTACCAAAGATTCTGTAGTACCAAGTGCACATCTGAGCTATTTTTGGAAATGAATGCAGCTGCTTGATAAATAAATAAGCAATGCAATTACTGGGTCAGGAACTGGTGACAGTGGTGAATGTCACCAGAAATCTTTTTTGAACTGCGAAATGGAGTTAATCAGGGCAGATGATCGTGCCTGATGGTACCTCTGATGTTAGGAGGAAGCTAGAGATGGAGGAAGCACGACATACACCGCAGCTATTGCAAATTGTGCTGAGTGTGCTAAAAGAAGAACCTTGGTTTAAGATTTTCTCTCTAATGTGGTGGGAATGTCGGTACTGGGCAGACTTGCAGTGCTGGCCATGCTGGTGCAATCCAGTGAGAAAGCTGCTGTGGGTCTCCCTGGGGGTCTCAGAAGGGGCAAGGCTCAGGAGCACAGGCAGGGCCAGGGAGCTGTGCTGAGCTGTGGGTGCTGTCCACGCTCCCACGTGCCTGGCTGGGTGTCTGGGGCTGGCTGAGGGGAACCCTCTCCCCCAGGCACTGGGACACTTCTCAGTCTGTGCTTGCTCAGGGCTGCTCTGACCCTTCTCTGCATCCCCACAGAGGAGCCCTGCCTGGCAGCCTGTGGGGTGGGTGCCAGGTGGAGCCACTCAGGGTCCCTGGCTGGAATTGCTCATCTCTGGAAGGCAGTGCTTGTGGAGATATGTTGGTAGATTTAACGTGATGCAAGTTTGCCAAGAGACAAACATTTTGTTATTTACTGCTCTTATTATGTCATTTGTCATGGGGCAATGTCTGGGTTTTAGTACTTAAGAGAATAAAGGTATGCAAAATACACTGTGGGTTATTTTAGTGCCTGAAAATGGTGTGTTGGGTGGTAGTTGTTCTTGTTTGTCACAGAATGTAGTGGAGGGAAATGAGATGAAGAGTGGAATTAGGATGACAAAGGATGAATTAGGATGAAGAAATAAAGTCGAGTTCCCACTGCAGGAAGCAGTTAGGGAGTAACTGCACTGGCACCAGACATGGTGCTGGTGCCCCCTTTCTGCGTGGCTCTGGGGAGGGGGGTCAGTCAGTGCAGTGTAACCTCTGCAGTGTCTCAGTTCCTCACTGCTGTGCCTTCCAGACCCCTCGGGGCTGGTGTGTAAGGACAGAGGGCCGAGCGAGCCGTGTCTCTCCTCAGCTGCTCCTCGGGGTGCTGGTGAGGACAGTGTCCCCTCTGACAGCAGCTGAGAATGGATGTGTGTCCTGGGAATGTCACTGTGGCTGTGGCCCTGTGAGAGCCTGGTGACACTGTGGGTGTGTCCTGTCTGCAGCTGCAGTTAGTAAGGGGAAGAGCAGAAGTGTGAACAACTCTACACACATTAACAAATCACTTTGAATCCAAAAAGGCAAAATCCAGGATGCTGTAGTGAGGAGGCAGCAATTGGTGACCACAGGTATTGCATTGGCTGGATCAGAGGGGATGTTCTCCTGGCACATGCTCTGAAGGACATGGCAGGAGAGCCAGCAGGTGCACAGAGCAGAGCAGTGTGTACAGGTGCACAGAGCAGTGTGTACAGGTGCACAGAGCAGGGCAGTGTGTACAGGTGCACAGAGCAGTGTGTACAGGTGTACAGAGCAGTGTGTACAGGCACAGGGAGCAGTGTGTACAGGTGCACAGAGCAGTGTGTACAGGTGCACAGAGTAGTGTGTACAGGTGCACAGGGCAGAGCAGTGTGTACAGGTACAGGGAGCAGTGTGTACAGGTGCAGGGAGCAGTGTGTACAGGTGCACAGAGCAGTGTATACAGGTACAAGAAGCAGTGCAGATCAGCAGGTGCAGGGAGCAGTGTGTACAGGTGCACAGAGCAGAGCAGTGTGTACAGGTACAGGGAGCAGTGTGTACAGGTACAAGGAGCAGTGTGTACAGGTGCACAGAACAGTGTGTACAGGTGCACAGAACAGTGTGTACAGGCGCACGGAGCAGTGTGTACAAGTGCACAGAGCAGTGTGTACAGGTACAAGGAGCAGTGCAGATCAGCAGGTACGTGGAGCAGTGTGTACAGGCGCAGGGAGCAGTGTGTACAGGTGCACAGAGCAGTGCAGATAAGGGGGTGTATTTCCTGTTAAAGCTCTCAAGGGCAGCGTGGGCTCCTTTGGCCACAGCATCTGGACACCTCAAGGGCAGAATTGTATTTCTGTCTTGCAAAACCCACCAGTAATTGTTTCATTTCTCCTTACTCTCTAGCAGTCCCTGTGCTCTCTTGAAATCTGAAATTCAACAGCTTCATTTTTCTGATAAGCTAAATTTTCATTCCCTTTTTGTTTCTGATTTTTAGACGAGGGTCTGCATTATTCTGACCCCATAAGCTTTTAGCATTAAAAGGTTACCCTGTGAAGTCTCTGTGCAAACCCTGATACCCACATGGAAACTCAGACAATGCTTTGAGCTCTTTGCATGTAGTATCATTTTCAGATCTAGCTTAAATTTTTTTTTTTAATTAAGCCTCAAAATTTCCCCACGGAGATCCATCCTATCTCCAAATTACCATGTCAGAGTGGTGGATACGAGGGGAAATGTTAGGATCAGATAAGAACAGTTTAAGAACTGAAATATAATGACAAAAAGATTGCAATGAAAAGAAAATAATAACTAAGAGAGATAAATAAACCCCAAGAAGAACAAGTAGTGGGTGAGCTGTCCTGGCAGTGCCCACCCCAGCTCCTTATGCCCCTCTGTGCTGGCAGGGCATGAGAAGCAGGAAAGTCCTTGACTTGGTGCAAGCCCTGCTCAGCAACAGCTGAGAACATCAGGATTGTTCTCATCCCAAACCCAAACACGGCTGTGTACCAGCTACCAGGAGAAAATTCACTCTTCCCTAGCTAAAATCAGGGCACTAGGTCAATCAAACATTAATAATCAGTAATTTTGTTGTCCCAAAACTAGATTTTTAAAAGTAGTAAAATGTGTTTCAAATAAAGAAATTGTTCCCTTTAATATTCTATTTTAATGGTAAAATTTGTCATTTAAATATTTTACTTTAAATTCTATTTCTGATGTTTTAAACTATGAGTTTTATACAGTTACATTTCCTCAGTCGTAAATTAAAACAAAAGTAGTTGCTAAGAAAAGATATTTTTCTTAAGACAGAGAAGAGGAATCCTTGCCTGTGTGTCCTCCATCTGTGCTGGCTCAGCCTCACAGGTGTGGAGCAGTTTCTGTACAGCTTTCTGTAGTTAGTTACAACTGCTGCTTTGTGCTCTGAGTTGTTAGTGGTTTGCAGAAAGTATGGATTGCAGAAAGTATGGATGTTCACCTTATTTGCCAATGTAAAAAATAAAGTCTCAGTGGCAGTTAATTGAGAACGTTGGCGGGGGCGGGAGCAGGTGATGGAAGGCGACGTCTCACCTGGACAGAAGTGCGGGATGGCGCCGGTGGTTCCTCCTCAGCTGCGACACACGGACAGACGGACAGGACGAGCCCTTCACAGCTGCCCTGACACGGAAAACGGCCGGGAAGCTGCAGCCTGGGAATGTCAGGGGGTCCCGGTCCCGGTCCCGGTCCGGCCCCGTGCGCGCTCCCGGCGGAGGCTGTGCCGGGGATGGGCGCTCCCGCCCCGGGGGGATTCGGGGCAGATCGGAGCTCCCCGCCCGGGCGGGAGATTTCAGAGCAGGAAGGGGAAGGGCTGGGGGGCCGTGCCCTGCCCTGCCCAGCTGTGCCGGGCTCCGGGAGCCGCCGCTGCCCGGGGCCGGTCCGGGACACGGGCGCTGAGCAGCGGCCGGGAGGGACACGAGTGCAGCTGGCACAGACAGCAGCGAGCGTCCCAACTGCACGGCTGGAGTCTGCTTTTCCTAAACTGTTCCCAGGGCTGGCTGCGACCTTTCCTGTGACGCATCCTGCCCCGGGACTGCTGCTCCGTGCATGGGAGGGCTCTGAACTGGAGCCACGGGCTTGCGTCGTGCCTGCCCAGGGCGTGCTCACACTGGGAGATGGATTCTGGGGATACCTGATGGGTCTTTGGTGTTTGGCTGCTTTTTTTTTTTTTTTTGTCCTGTTCTTTTCTTTTAATCCTACTCACCTGCCTGGCTTCCTCCTTTTCTATTCCTCCCATAGGTTTACTGGGAGGCTTTGAAATCAAACACAGAATTAGTGAAAATGTGTGGTAATAGAAAAGCTAATATCTTTGTGAATGTGGGAAAGGAGTATGTTCTGAGAGGGAGCTGAGGTTGGGGGAGAGAAATTGAAATTTAAATGTTTATTTTAAAATAAATGAAATATGTAAATTGTGTATCTTAGAGCTGATAAACATCTAGAGCATGGCTTGAGCTCTGCTTGACAGTGTGTTACCCAAACCCTCCAGTAAATATACAATTCCTCATGGGCATTCCTTTTGTGAGGGTTTATCCATATACAAGGAGGGCTCAAAGGCACAGAGAAATGAATGTACCTTCTGTGATGTGTTGATGTCGTGTGAACATCCTTCCCTCGGGGCTGGGGCCTGTCAACCTGAACCTCCAGTTCCTTCCTCCCCCCCAATTTCATTGAATCTCTCTCAGTGCAATAAGGGGATATCTTGAGGGGTAAAATTGTCTGTACATTTTTGTGAGCACTCTTGCCCCTCTCTCATTTCTGAGACTCCCAGCTCGAGCTGTAGTGGTCAGTTCATGGCTTTGGGGTGATGGATTTGGTTGTTGGTTTATGGATCAGGCAGGACAGTGCACGAGGCTTCTCAGGTCTTCCCCAGAAGGCACCAATCAACCAAATTTTCCATCTTTTTCTGTCCACCCCATGGTCATTTCTTGAAGTGAGCACAAGAGGAATAGGTCAGATAAGGCTTTGGCTTTAAAAACCTTTGAGCCTCTGAGACAGAGTTTGTAATTAATTCTAAAAAAACCCCAAACTTCATTTTTTTTTCTGGTTTTTTTTTTTTTTTTTTTTTTTTCATTTCTGTGCTTCCTCTCCCCAGAAGCAGCAGCAGAAGCCTCAATATCCCTTTTGGGACCAGGGTCAGCTTTCAGAGTGTGACCTACAACAAACTTTTTCCAACAGCTTCCTCATCTAAGCCTAAAATTAAAATAAGCAATGTTCCATTTGTGTCCAGATGGAATCCTTGCAGGAGAGGAAGAGAAGTGCAGTTTGACCAGGACAACTTAGTTTGAAAGAGGAGTATAAAATAAAGAGTAAGAGGAACTTCTGGCAAAGCAGAATTGTCCCCAAACCTTGATGGAATCTGTCCCTCCCATGGGCACTTCTGTTGAAGGAGGTCATTGTTCAGAGACTTAGTGAAATTTGGAGAAAATAACTGAAACATTCAGGAGTTCTTCCCATTATTTCAAGTGTCTGAGAATTTAGCAAAGAGCTGAATATGCTTTTTTGCTGATTCATCAGAAAAATCATGGCTTGAGCCTGCAGCCAACACTTTGGGTCAGACTGCCAACCTCTGCGTGATGGAAGTGGCCTTTGCTGTGGTCTAATATGGTAAATGTGTCACTGCAGGGCTGGCCTCTGCTGGGGTGACATCCATGTGTGGTGCATCTTTGGGGTTTGATTGCCTGTTTATTATTCCCTGTTTGAAAAACTGGCTTTGAATGGGGAGTCTGACTCAGAAAATTCCACCTGGCTTAAAAGGGGTTCTCAGTGATCTCTGATACCCAGTTCCTTTCCCGGGGTCTCAGATCAGATCCTGAGTTGCTCTTGTGCCACGTAGAAATGGGGCTGTGAAGTTGTAAAGTAGATGAATCAGTTTGGATCGTAGTGGTTTGGATATTCTTTTCTATGCCTCCCCTGCTGCACTCTCCACCCAGGAAAAACCAGAGAAAATGTGGCCCTGGTAACCTGTGTGACTGGGCTGGCTGCTCCTCTGAGCCCAGCGTGCAGGTGGTGGGACAGCTCGGGCACATCCCTGCTGCCTCTGC